AGGGACTGCTCCTAGAGATGTACAACATCTCGTGGACTACGGCAGCGGTACCCCAGAGCTGGAGAGATGCCCACGTCATTCCTGTCCCAAAGCCTGACAAGGACCATAGCCGCCCTGAGGGTTACAGGCCGATTTCCCTGACGAGCGTGATTTCCAAACTGATGGAGGTCATGATTAAGAACCGCCTGTCCTTTATCACTGAGAGCCCCAAGTTCCCCCATGTACGCCCTTTCTGCGACTCGCAGGGTGGCTTTCGTAAAGGTAGGGGCACTGAAGAACAGGTCCTAAGCATGGTAACCGCAATGGACCTGGCACGCAGCAACGGGTACTACTCGTGTCTATTGTCATTTGACTTAGCAAATGCATTTGACACGGTCGACCATGACTACCTGCTAGCAGTCATGGAGAAACGTGGCGTGCCCCCTCGCTTCACCCGTTGGATTCGTGCCTTCCTGCGAGGACGGACGGCTGCGTACAAGGTCGACGGGAAAGTAGGGAAGAAAGTCTCGTTGAGCCGCGGCGTTCCCCAGGGCACAGTCCTCGGCCCCATCCTCTTCCTGTTTTGCATCGACGGGCTGGGCGTAAAGCTTGAGGAAATCAGCAGTGCGCTTGGAAACACAAAGGCCGGACCAAACTACCTGACCCCGTCACTGTTTGCAGATGACGTGGGGGTTGTCGTCTCGGCCTTGACGGTTGCCGAACTCGAAGTGAAGGCACAGATGGTGGTGGACGCAGTCGAGAAATGGGTTGCTGGCGCCCGGATGAAACTGGCGCATCACAAGACAGAGGCCGTGCTCATCTGTCCACCGGGCAAGAGTACGGTACCCCCACGGTTGCGTTTCCGCAATGCTAGGTCGTCCATTCGCATTCCTGGATCCCAACTCCCAGCCTGGATAAGACGCTACAGCCATACTTTTGTGGCAAATGAAGCGCAATACAGAGTACATGAGGGCAAGCGGGTGGAAGCGGTTAACGGCCACTCTGGTTTCTCCAACGATGACATACATGCCATACATGGGGAAGTGCGCAACCAGTGGGTCGTCCTTGATCTCACGGAGCCTGTCCGCTGGGTGAAACAGACGAAGTTACTCGGCCTCATCATCGATGACGAGCTGTCTTTTCACGCACACGCTGAGAGGGCCATAAAGCGCATGGCACAGAGAGGGAACCTCCTGCGCCACCTGTCGGGGAAAGCGTGGGGGTGCAGCACCGCTACGCTGCGCAGCCTGTACCTAACCTACGTGATCCCCTCTGTGACGTACTGTTTGTCGGTCTACGGGCCCTACTTGCTCAAATCGTCGCGCGCCTACCTCAGATCCTTTGAGCGACTCCACACGAGCTCGCTTGCGCACATCCTGGGATGCCGCAAAGGCGTTTCTGACTTTGTGGCGACCCGGGAGTCAGGTATTCCGCCGCTGGAGGTGTACGTGGACGTCAGACTCGGCAGCCTCTGGGAGAGAATGTTGCCCCGCAAGCACCTCTGGCCGGACGTCTTCAGACTGCCGTCCACACTGAGTCGACGATACACAGAGCTGACGCTGAAAGCCGGCACCCGCAACCTGCCGAGGGAACTCTGGGTGCACAACCCCTTCGCCCCTTGGCACCCACGTCCGGCGGTAGACATCAACCCCTCCCTGCCCGGCGGAAAAAAGGCAGCAGCACCTTCCGAGAAGAAACGTTCTGTCGAGAGCCAACTGCGTAAGCTCCCAGCCCCGGACTGTACGGTGTGGACCGATGGATCCGTACGCAGGGTACAGCCGCCGCCTCCACAGCCCGGTTCTCAAGCAGAACGCAACATATGGCCATGGTCCATGAAATGCGTAGACACCTGGACCTGGGGCGGAGCTGCAGCCTTGATTGAGTGCGCGCCCACGATCTCCCTTGCAAACGACCATGGCTTCGAGATCCGCCAGCGAGACGCCGTCCGTTCGACCACCCTCTCACACGCCGCAGGACGCTTTCCCTCCAGCCTCAAGGCGGAGACGCTCGCATTGGCCGCGGCCCTCAGGGCCCTCCTTAGGCTCCTCACGCCCACCACCGCGCCCCGAACGGTCTTACTGCTGTCAGACTCGCAGTCGCTATTGCAACGTTTGGCGAGCGGCCCACAGACGCAGAAGCAACCCCTCATGGTACACATCTGGACCATGCTCCGTACCCTCACACGGTTAGGATACACAGCAACGCTCCAGTTTGTGTACGGACACTGTGGCCTGCGCGGAAACGAGGTGACCGACGGACTGGCGAGGCACGCCACTCTCCAACACCACAGAGAGCTGTCGCGGTGCCGGGGTAACCCCACAAGGGAGTGTCCGATCGCGGCGGAGGATGCGGTGGCGCGCTACAAGGCGTACCTGTCCGCCGTGTCCACCGAGGCCATGGCGCGAGCGGCGTTTGAAAGGGCGACCAAACACCGCATCACACTGCCCTACGCCCGGATCGTGGATGGGCGGAACATCAAGCGCCCAGCTCACCTCACGACGCGCGCTGAGCGGGTGATCCGGCAGTTCAGGACTGGTCACCACCCGCTAGTGATGACCATGTACGCCCCGGACTACGCCGATCTCGACAAGCAGGAAAGGCGGCGTGCCTATCGCAGCTGTGCACTTTGCGGCAAGCACCGCCCGAACGTGCTCGAACACCTGCTCGTTGAATGCGACGATGCGGCTAGCCAGCCACACCGCAGGAGCATGTGGTCGAAGGCTCTGGTCGGCAAGGGGCCCGAGGCCGCGTCACGCCTGCCGCCCGGAGCTACCAATGCCGACAAGCTGTGGCACGTCCTTTTCAAGTTTCCCGAGCTCGCCCTCGAGTACTTGCAGGATGCGGGTTTAATCCCTCGGTTCGTTAACGTGAGACCAGATTGTGGGGAGGCGCTGACCCCTTCCGGCTCAATCTGTGACGGAAGGTCTGTGTGGAGCTCACAGACTGTCACCTCGCAGATTAGTGCCCCACAGAGCACTCCGGCTAGCAGTCAGCCGGTAAGCCTCAGCCGTGAACCAGTGGACTCGGAAGCCAGCGAGCCATACCGCAATTTGCACGACGACGGCCCGCCTCTCCGCACCAGCAGGTCTCCCACGCCCGACTTGGAGTCGGTGGCGGCTGGTGGGATCTGCTACACAGACGCCATCAGCAGTGACGACTCTAACGACTGGGCCTGACGACGCCGCATCGTTCAACTCCACTGTTATCGAACCCAACGACACCACGCAACGTGCTGCTTCAAGACGTCAACGTAACATCACCTACAACCCACGGCCTTCAAGAAGTGCTGCCAGACAACGCCGATGAACTTGCAGCTGTCGTGTGCGTGTCCTTGAGCTTCCACATTGTCGCCTCGGCCAAAGCCAGCGTGTGCACAAACAAACGCCGTCGAACTCAGCTCTGCTAAAAACGACTGTTGTATTTGCTACCAAGCACCGCAAACCGCTGCGCCTCCAAAGGCAGCAAGAATATAAACTGAAGCACAAACTACAAATGCACCGACAACAGCAAAAGTGTTCCATAAAAGTGTTCCATAAACTGTGCACTGGCCACCAAGGCACCACCAACTGTTGCACCTACATCAAACAAAAAACATACAAGACAAACCCAGAGAGTTCGGGTACAGCACGAAGCGACCCACTGTAACCCTGGGTAAGCGTTAAAAAGTTACGCAATGAAACAAGAGACAAGGAAATCACCCCACCCTACTGGGGGGGGCCAATTACAATTGAGTTCAATTGTAATATAACGATACACGGCGTGGAATTGGGGGGTCTCAGACCCCCCCCAAAAACACTAGTGTATTACAATTGAAGTGCAGCTTGCCTGTTAGAAACACGTTGTTGTCGGGACTAAATGACACAGTGAGTACAATGCAACTCCGAGCAAAAACTGAAGGGAAAACCTTCACACAACAAGCGAAAGGTTCGAGCGCAGTTCGGACTCCGAGCCCTGATTTCTCGTGCATCGGGTCGGAAATACCCAACTGGTGCATGCCGTGGGTGTTTCCACCAACACCTGGCAAGACTCCTGCTAAGACTCTTGGCAGGAGAGTGCCCTAACTTGGGCCTAAGGTTCACTTTTTCTGGGGCGGTTGCTCAGTATCAGAGTTTCCAACAGCATGGCGACCGCAGTCCGACGAACTTACTGCTTTCTCTTTTTGACAGAGAGCGCTGGCGGCAGACGGATAAACCGATAAATCTGGGGATAACAAGATGTCCCATCCGATGGGCCATCGCCCCCATGCCGACGATTGGCAGTGTCTCCGGCTGGCTCCGAAGCTCAACTCCGGAGCTGGCTCAGCAGCTCCGGAGCCACCGCCACACTGCGATTGCCGGCCCATTGCCATGTTTGTGCTTCATGATCCCCGCACACAGCCAGCTCCAAGACGTTGGCACGAGCAACGGCACCAGCGACATCAGCATGATCGTGCTCAAAACCTTTGAAAGACCCGGGTTCGGAATGCACTCCAAAACCTCGTTTTAAGATTTCTTCTCCGCTTTGGAGGTCTAACATGACTTTTCCAAAAAAAAGCCGAAACGAAAACGGCCCTGAAACCGCCTCACTGGCTGGCTCACACTAAGTGCAGTGCGAAAGTGTCAGCCGTACAGTAACATTACAATTCAATTGTATTATACGGTTGGGATGCGCCGTTTCCCCGAAAAAAAAGTTCAATTGTATTATACGGTTCAATTGTATTATACGGTTCAATAGTAATTAGCCCCCCCCTGTAGCCTAGCAAGCAACCTAGCCCCCAACAAACTAGCCTGTGCCTTGTGCAGCACACAGTGTCTAACCTGCGTGGCATGTTACTTGACAGTAACACGGCCCAGTAAAGCCGTTTCCCGCCGTGTCGGGTGTCAACAAAAAAAAAAATGCACAGGAAGAGTCCGTCCTTCTTCTTTCCTAGTTTGACAAAAGGAACAAAAGAACGACTTGCCCGTACAAGTAAATGCAGTTCTCGCCCCCTGCATGTCTTCCGTAGTTGCTTACTCAAAAAAAAAAAAAAAAAAGCGGTATCGTCCCCCTTGGCGCAGTCGGTAGCGCGTCAGGCTGTTAACCTGCAGGTCGTTGGTTCGAACCCAACAGGGGGAGTTTTTTACGTTGAACACCCAAACTTCTTTTTCCCGGCGATCTTCGGCCAAATCTTGGACCCAAAACTGAGGGGCTGGTGCCCATTACGGCACGGTTTTGTTAGATTTGCCCATTCGGTGTTTTCGAGTGCCCATTACAGCACGGTTATTTGCCCATTCGGTGCGGGCTAATTCCCATTCTCGAACACAATTTAACTTTTTGCCCTTTCTCGGTAACTTTGTGCCCATTCTAACACTAACTAACTTTTTCGAACATTCCAGTTTTTGTGGTGAAAATGTCGTGTGACGGCGAAATCTCAGATGGTGAAGATCGAATTAAAAGAAGGCATCAAGCCCTTGGAAAAATTATGTTGTCACGTGGTGATCTGTATCCACAGTCATCTTTAGTAAAAGGCGAAAGATGAGTTTGCCATGAACACAAATCGTGAGATGCCGACCCTGTGTTCTACCTATCATCCTGAGGAAGGCGCGCGTAGCGGAGAACGTATCAATTATCAGGTGGGCAGAAAAAGCAAGGACACGGAGAATGGATTTGCCTTTCTTCCAAAAAGCGCCCCCCGCGGGGCTCGAACCCGTGACCTCAGCCGAGGGGACATAAAGCCTGCCCGGGGAGTGCAATGAGAGCTCCAGCCGGGCCCACACTGTCTCGAGCGCTCTTCGCTCTGCGGTTGGGCTTCGCTTCATGGAGCCGTCGTGACTCTGGCGCCCCAGGCTTCCCTGCTGCATCACCCTCGCCGCCTGCGTGGTAGCCTCACCGACCCTCGGTAGGCTGCAGCGGGCCCGGCAGTGAGGCCTCAGTGCACAGGGCAAAGCAGGTGCCAGGAAAAACCAAAATATGCCCAGAAAACTTCGAAACTGAAGAAATTGGGGCGAAAAGTATCCTGAATGGGCTGGGAACCCCCCCCCAAAAAAAAAGAAAACTTTCAGTTCTTTAGAACTGAAAGTATTTTATTATCGATTAGTCAACCTCTACGACCGCTCAGGAAACGTCTTCGACGGAAGAACTCACGTACACCAGGTACAGAGACAGTTTCCCCGGTATCTGCAGGTTAGCCCTCGGAGAAAAAAAGTACGTGCGCTCGGCTAAGGCCGGCGCGTGGCGAGACTGGAGGCAGCAGAAAGTATTTAAGCAGTTAAAGTTCGGGAACAGCAAAGTTCGGGCGAAGCTAAGTTCGGGCAATGCTAAGTTCTGGTGAAGCAAAGTTCGGGTGAAGCTAAGTTCGGGCGAAACAAAGTTCGGGCGAAGCAAAGTTCGGGCGAAGCTAAGTTCGGGTGAGCAAAGTTCTGGTGAAGCAAAGTTCGGGCGAAGGTGAAGCTAAGTTCGGGCGAAACAAAGTCCGGGCGAAGCTAAGTTCTGTGTGAAGCAAAGTTCGGACGTTCTGGTGAAGCTAAGATCGGGCGAAACAAAGTTCGGCGAAGCTAAGTTCGGGTGAAGCAAAGTTCGGGCGAAGCTAAGTTCTGGTGAAGCAAAGTTCGGGTGAAGCAAAGTTCTGGTGAAGCTAAGTTCGGGCGAAACAAAGTTCGGGCGAAACAAAGTTCGGGCGAAGCTAAGTTCGGGTGAAGCTAAGTTCGGGCGAAACAAAGTCCGGGCGAAGCTAAGTTCGGGTGTAAAGTTTGGCCTCGTACCCGGCCCAGCACGGGGGGGGGCCGCCCTGGGGCAGCCTTTTCCCGCCGCCCCCCCCTCCGGTATTTCTCCGGGGGGCTGAGAAACTCCGCAAAAAACGCAAATTTCGGGCACATCAGGCCCCGAAACGACAGCAAACCTCGAAATAATCTTCGACCGGAAAAGTGTCATGGGCCAGGGGGAGAAAAAGCCAGCTCCGCGCTATTATCTAGTTCAAAACAATACACTTTTTTAGTGTAGAGAAAAGTGGGGTTGGCTCGAATAGAGCTATTCACATTGCATGTTCATAGGACCTCCAGTCTCGAAAAAACGGAAGACAAAGAGTCCGGCCGCGGTACCGGGAACCCACAGGGTAGAATAACAGCGGAACATGGGTGATAGAAAAAGGTAGACTCGACATCATCAAAACGATGGTGGCCAACGGTGCCAAGCAGCACCCCCCAAGCAAGAAGAAGACGAGATGGGGTTGAGAGCGGAAATTGGAAAAGAAAATGGAATCATGATGGATTCGCTGAATTAGAATCAGAAAAGACTCCGGATACATTCGTCGTTCTCGGCGGAATCTCGCTGTCAGTCACTCTCCGGAATACCGGGAATATCCAACTGCAGCACCTCTGTGAGAGTTGTGCTTCTGGTTTCGGCAACGAGAGCCTCACTTGCTTCAAGGTCGACCTCGTTGAGGGCCTCAGAGATTATGAGGCCATCAAGTGTCTCATCCTGAGACTCAGTATCGAGGGAATCACTACAGGTCGGGATGAAAGGCTCATCAGTCGGGCCTGTTCGCAGCGCAGTTGCAAGCGTAGCCTGTGCTCGCTTTGTGCGCTTCTCGGCCGCACGGGCCAATTACCATTCCAGCACCATTTTCAAACTTTTTGCCCATTCCAGCACTATTTCCAAACTTTTTGCCCATTTCAGCACTATCGCAAACTTTTTGCCCATTCCAGCACTCTGCCCAAACTTTTTGCCCATTCCAGCACTCTGCCCAAACTTTTTGCCCATTCCAGCACTATTTCCAAACTTTTTGCCCATTCCAGCACTATTTCCAAACTTTTTGCCCATTCAAGCACTATTAGTATTACCACCCTTTACCAATATTATGGCAAAATCAACACTGCAATTTCCATACCTTCGGGTTTTACCATCTGCAGGGGGGGGCTAAATACACGGGAGCCAAGCTTCACGTGTTCGGCGGTACTGCAGCCACGGGCCTACGGGTCAAGTGGCTCCCGATTTCCCAGACTAAAGCATCAAGGCTTGGCGCACCTCTTGGCGCTCGCGCTGATTCGCGGCTGAACGCAAGCTCGTCGAGACGGTCAGCCGCAGGGCAGAGCGGACGGGGTTGTGGCACTGTGCTGCCTCCGACTCAAGCTTTGCAAGCTGTGGTTGACCGTCACGTTCCTGGCCAGGAGCGGCCTTTTTCTCCTCTTCTTTCTTCTACAGAAGTCGCCTTGTCATGCGGCCAAGACGGAGACAGTCCGGACAACACGTAGCCAAGCTGCACGAGCCGATTTCGTCCAAGGGCGCCCACCAAAGCGCCACCTACAAACGCTCCGCCGACGTGCGCCACCTACACTACGGGTCGTTCCAAAATCACTCTACTGTACAGACTAGTCTACAGTAGGAGTCTACTTCTCCACTGATTTTGCGGAATCTTCTACGACCGGCAGGCCGCAGCAGTAGATCTCGAGATGGCGACGCCACAGCACTGGGCGTCGCCCTTCGCGACCCGCCGACCACTGATGACAAAACCGGGTTCATCACGCTACTTAGTACGCTTGCGCAGTGGCTCGTAATAGCCTACAAAGGTTTCACAACAGTCACTGACAACTTGACAAACGTGTCACGCAGTGTGGGGGACAGCCACTGCAGCCAGTGGCAGCCACTGGCTCAGAATGGCTGAGATTTCGAAAAGTTTTTTTTGGTGAAAACCCTGGGGTAGGGGGGCAAAAATGCCGAAAAGACAGTGCGAGACTTAGCTAGCTATTTGGCCAGCTACATGTAGCTCTTTTTAGCTATTTATCACTCATTCCACGAAAAGTGTCACAGATTTGGTGAAAACCCTGGGGTAGGGGGGAAAAAATGCCGCGACACTTAGCTAGCTATTTGGCCAGCTACATGTAGCTATTTCTAGCTATATATCACTCATTCCACGAAAAGTGTCACAGATTTGGAACAATTTCTGGGGGAAAGAGTCGATCCCATGACAGTAGAAGAGGGATCAGAGTTTTCTTGTACGGATGCTGCTTGTGCTGCGGTAAAATTAGATGCTGCTACCGCAGGAAAACCCGTGTATCAGTCGCACCGCAACGGACTGACTGTCCGGTGCGCTCACTGTGACCCAGTAAGGCATGGATTCATGACGGCAACGACTTCAGAATGTACGTACTGTGATAGGCACACAATGATGGGCAAAACGAGTCACTGCGAGTGCTGGATCTGCTCCAGCCTGGAGTGGGCAAAAAGTTTGGATAAAGTGCTGGAATGGGCAAAAAGTTCGAAAATAGTGCTGGAATGGGCAAAAAGTTTGGAAATAGTGCTGGAATGGGCAAAAAGTTTGGAGATAGTGCTGGAATGGGCAAAAAGCTTGGAAAAGGTGCTGGAATGGGCAAAAAGTTTGCGATAGTGCTGGAATGGGCAAAAAGTTTGGAAACGGTGCTGGAATGGGCAAAAAGTTTGCGAGAGTGCTGGAATGGGCAAAAAGTTCAAAAAGGTGCTGGAATGGGAATTGGCCCCGGCCGTTAGACTCTGGATAGAGCTCACTGTTCAACAACCTATGGTTGATGGCAAGTGTGAGGGACGCGTTCACGTTCTCAACCGAGAGCTTTGCCCTCAGTTTTCCAATAACGGCAGACAGAGTTTTGAAGTGCCGCTCGACAGCGGCTTCGCTGGTCGTTGCTCTTCCCAGCGTTCTTGCAAACAGACTGAGAAACTCGCTCTCGTCACGCATGGCCAACTCATGGGTCCAGAAGTGTACATACCCGTGCTTGATCGGGTGTCCGTGCTGGTCTCGAGGCCTGTTCCGGAACTCACTGTACGCTGCCTTGGACTGCATTAGGAAAGATCCCAATGCCCGGCTGTCGGGTATTCTTCGGGCAATAAAAGGTGACAGATGCCGAGAGAGCAGCTTCCATCGCTTTGCTCTCACTGCACTTGTCACCTCGTCGGCCGTCTGATCGACGTTCGGATGCAGTAATTTTAGCACGTCGAGTGCTGGGAAAGAAAAGTTCCGTTTGACCCTGTAGGACCATTTCTCAATGGCTCTGTTGATTACGCTAAGTTCACTCGAGACGTGCCAGGTCCAACGCGATACCGTCGATAATCTCGTGGAGCTCGAGAAGACTTTCCGGAGTCCTTCTGTAGCTTGTCGGTTGCAATTG